TTCTCCTCTCTTTATCCTATCTATGTATTTCTTATTTTCTGTACTCATAGTTATGTCTAACTAATCCATTTACTTAGGGCTTAGGATGAAGCCCTAGTCATGAATATTCAATGTTATGGATGATTTTATAGTTAATTGATTTCCTTGCTTTCATTACCAAGTTGTTAATCTCTAGTTTATTATGTGCTTGATGTATGTTTTCTTAGAGTAGCTAACTAGGATTTTATGCATCTAGCACAGGTTGGGAAGGAGTTTAGATTCACCAATTATACTCTCTTTTCACAAGCAACACATGAATTGCCTAAGAATCATTCAAGGGGTTAATAACCATAGGTTGACTAGGACAGATACTATGTTCTAGGACTTGTGTGATTATCATATTCTCAAATAGCTTAATGACTCTTGTATGCTTTATTCTAAGTAGATACCATGCTTAGGTTGCATATTAGAGATCACGTGTTGTGTAGATACCATGCATAATCACATGCCATAGGAGAATCATGCATCCTGCACCTAGATACCATAGGCTTGTGGGCGATAATCTATTGTTAATGAAGCTTGAGTCAATTTCTATGTATTCATAACTTGGATAGGAAGACTAGTGGTAGATTCCAAGGCTCTAACACCTCTCAATCTTTGTTTCACAACTTGTTGATTGCTGCCAGTGTTTACTTCCAAGCACTTTCATTTCACTTTCTTCCTTTCATTTCAACAACAAAACCCCTGTGTGGTGCTAGGATCTGTCCTAGACCTTGAGTAATTAGCAAGAGGCATTGTTGAATTCGACCTTGCCTTTAGCTAGTTAGTCAGTTTCTTTGTTTTATGTTTTTCTAGCATTCTAAGTAATTTAACTTGGAACCAAGTTACCATTCTCCATGGGATCGACCTCGTATTTACATAAGCTATACTATAAACGGTTCGTGCACTTGTGAGAATTAAAGTTGTTGTTTTTAATAACTCATTTTAGTTGTTAAGAATAGGCTCAACACAACCCCATTCCAAACAACATTCATTTTACTTGTTTATATAATTTTCTTATTTCACTTTGTTAAGTAATCTCTCCTTGTTGCAACCCAATCTAACCTGACAATTTTAATCTTATTGCAATTCATTTTTCATCTCGAAAATTGTCTGTTATATTTTCTTTTTGTTTTAAATTGAACGGAAATGTGTTTTAGAAATATTTTTATATTTGAATGTTACTGAAACATTTGCTTGTATCAAATTTCTTTCGTATTTCCTCTACTTTACTCTTGTGTTTTAGGAGGATTTTTTTAATCTTCTCGTACCACATTTCTGAGTCAGATTACTGAATATCAAAACACCTTTCATCGGAAGTGTTGTTGAAATATGTTGCTATTCAGTATTTTGACTCAGAAAGGTGTTGTGGGAATATCGGAAATGTTTTGGTATTTTCTGAGTGATAGTAGTAAGAAACTTTGTTTTAGAGAGAGTTCTTTTTATCTCCAGAAAACTCAAATTGTTTTGAGATTTGATATTCTGGCTTATTTTTTTGTCTGTTTCACAAGATTATTCTTTGTTCTCTGTTTTATGGTTACGGGTGGGGTTGTCTTGACAATTTCATTTGGTGGTTTTAGGTGTCAATTACCCCTGAAGTTTCGAAAACGACGAACAAAGACGTGATTAAACAGCTTGTTCAGCTGTACAAAGTTTCCCACTTGGGAAACTTAACCCCAGCTTATGATGGTATGAAAGGCATTTTCACAGCAGGGCCATTGCCATTTGTCTCTAAAGTGTTTGTGGTCAAGTTGGGTCAGAGGGATGGTCGTGATTGGTCTTCTGGTTCCAAAAGGTATTTTCGAATGAGAGTTTAGTGTGTTGTGTTTGTTTCCTTTTTGGATTTTTTATAGTTGCCTGTTCTCTGAATATTTTTATGTTGTGTTTGAATGACTTACAGAAAGGACAGGGAGTTTAAGGTCGTTGTAAAATTGGCCGACAAACCCGACCTTCATCGGTTGCCTCAAGAAGCCATACAAGTTCTTAATGTTGTTTTTAGGGCCGCACCATCTGACAAGTATTATTCTCCGTTTGTTAGAAAGAGTATATGATTTCTTATATCTTTGTGTATAGTATGTTTGTATATAATAACCACACATATGCACTTTTGTTATATTCAAACAAGCGTATTAGCCAAAAATACATAGACTTAAAGTAATATGTATACTCCTATACATATGCACATATATGTATATATAATATACCTTTAGTATATATGTAGGCATGTGTATACTTCTTATGTAAACATGTATGTGTGTTTTATATAATAACCCCACATACATTTATATAAGTATACATGCATTTTTATCCCCTAAACCATATGATCAATTTAATAAATCGTTTAGAGGTATTTGATTCAATTTGAGCTAAAAGCATAGGAGAAATCAATCCATATAACACTAATATAATTCAGTATTCCAAAATAACAAACTGAAACTACCCCATGAACCATGATCAATGAGAAGTGTTGTGCTCTAGTTTGGAAAACTTGTATCCCCTAAACCATGATCAATTTAATAAATCATTTAGTGGTACAATTTGATTCAATTTGAGTTAAAATCAGAGGAGAATCAAACCATACCAAACTAACATAATTCAACATTCCAAAGTAGTACTAGTCAAAGGAAGCTAGCTACAATTATGACTAGTGAATAGTCTTATAAATTAATATACTCCAATGTTTAGCATATATGAATGTTTAGTATATAGTCATAAAGTAATATATACTCTTATGTTTAGTGTACATGTACATTTGAATATTTGTATGTAGGTACTTAAATATAAAAAATAATAAATGACGCATATATACAACCTATAAATAAAAAAACAATGCAATGAAAAGTATAAATAATAAAAGATTATTATAAAGTCGGAATTTTTCAGAAAATATCGGAAAAATCGGATCGGAATGGGTTCGGAGAATTTCAGAATTTTCGGAATTCACAAAGTCATTCCGATTCCAATCTGAATTTTATCGGAAATTTCGGATTTCGGAAGTTTCGGATATAAGAGGTATTGGAGTCGGATTTCTTCGGAAAATTTCGAACCGAAATCGGATTTTCCAATCCAATTTACACCCTTATTTGAGACCTACACTTATTGGATATTAGATCATTTGGTTTATTTCCCTATGTTTGTATGTTTTTAATATCATTTCCCTAGATACTTGACATGTTATAACATTTTTGTAGTGCTAAATATTTATTTATATTGTATGTGAGATTTTAGTTTGTTGCTTTATATAATTATTTAACAATTTAATTATTTCTTTGCACCTTTTGTTTACGAAGCTTTAATTTTCTTTTTCACTCATACTATTCTTTTTGTACTATCTGGTTTTTTTATTTAGCTTGGCATTATGGTCGAGATGTGGATGTGAGTGTTTTGTTGCTAAAAAGAAACCCATTATGATTTAAGTTTTTTTTTTTTGGACAAACAATATCCAATATGATTAATTTCAGTATCTTTCTCTTCTTTCATGTTGTGCATATTGTTGATGTTGAAATTTTTGTGACTCATTTGAAAATCATTAGGTAGAATTCTTAATTGTAATGATATTATGAGCTTTGACATTGAGTTCATCTTCAACTCATCTTCATCGAAATTGTTGTATTATATTGAAGTTTGGTATCATATTTAGACGTGCAATTACCAAATTGTAAGGGGTTTTTTGCAGTTGGTGTATGTAACTTAGCATACAATTGGCAACCTTTTTGCATTTTCAGAATGCAATTACCAGCTGACTAGTCTGTTATTGCAATTAGAGTATGCACCATTGTATTTGTTGCCTCGCATTTTTGTAATGAAAATGCAGTAGGTACTTTAATATGTCATTTTTGAATCCAATTAGCAATTGGTTAGTTTGTTTTTACAATTATTGTATGCAGATTGTCATGATATTGGTAGCCTCTTCAATTTTGAGAATGTAAATACGTTGTTTCTCAATGCAATTGACAAACAGATAATGTTATTTGCATTCCAGTTGTGCTATTGACAAACAAAGCAGTCTCATTTGCATTCCAATCGTCCAATTGCCATTATCTGTGCACAATTAATTGAAAATATAAATACAATATGTGATTTGTCACTACAATTGACAAACAAGTAGTGCCATTTGCATTCCAGTAATATCCTCCCTTTACCACATCATGGGGGTTTACAGGAGATCCCAGAGGCTCGCTCGGAAAGGCTGCTGTACCATACCTTTTGACTCAACTCTACTCTAGTAGTCACAATCAAAGTAGTCCTATTTGCATTCCAGTCGTGCAATTGACATTCATAGTAGTCCAATGCTTTATATGTTTATTATGAAAATACAAAAGAAAATTGAACTATGCAATTGGACAAGTTTATTTTCCAAAATAAACATTTGAATTGATTAAGGGTAAAATAAATACAAGTTAATTGAAAGTATTAGGTCATATAGATCCACATAAATAAAGGTACAAAGCATTGGATTTTCACATATTAACTTTTATTGTTAAGCTCTTTTTTGT